TAATGCATATATAATCTCCTTTCATAGTAGTATCCCATTATCTTTGCTATCTACTTCCCATTTTTGCAATGTCCTGATAAAATCTCTAGCTATGCTTCTCACTGATTTTACCCATGTTTTTGGGAAAGAAATCTAAGTGTGAATGCAACATATGAATCTTTTTAAACATATGACAACCCATTTTTAGGTTGTTATCCAAACTTTCTTGAATTTTTCAATAAGCTTTGCAAGCAGTTTTTTTGAATTAGGGTTAGACATTGCTTTTTTTATTTGAATCCACAAACTACATCATTGAATAAAAAACAAGCTTCTTTTAAAGTTTTTATTGTTACTTTTTCAAGTTTCTCTGATTTTGACATTGATTTTATTTGAGGTCCATTTAATATACTACCTTTAATCTTTGTCCCCGATAGTTTTGAAAACATGAGATGAATTCTTGTAAAGCTCCTCCAAAATTCAAGGCTTTCACAAACTGTTTTATCCAGGGCTGTGGAGTCAGAGTCGGAATTTCGGAGTTGTGATATTTTTAGCAGAGTCAGAGTCGGAGCCGCTAACCAAAATTGCGATTCTGACTCCAATAGTAAAACTTCTCGGTATTGCACGTGCATGCATAAAACATTCAATTAACCTTATATTTATACTAAACCTCAAAGAACGTTTCATAAATTTGTCAAAAAACTTTATTTAATTTTACCGCATAACATTTTTTAAAGAATTCAAAGAATTTTTGCTTAGGAGTTGGAGACGGAGTCGGAGTTGTACTCAAAAAATTTTAACAACTAGAGTCGGAGTCGGAGTTGTTACTTTTTTTTACAACTCCACACCCCTGGTTTTACCAATGAACTTTCTTGTAATAACCGTCATTAATCCTGCTTTTCCATCAGCAAAGAAAAGATGATTACTTTGTGTATCCTTCTTGCAAGTCAAACAAAAAAGCGAGTATCTTGAAATCACCCCAAATATTTTACTTAAATTCAGAATAATCAATTTTGTAAAGGAGTACTTTGGCACAATCATAGTATTCTTTCTTCTACCAAGTGTACCTAGAGGTAAAGATTGATATTTATTGTCATGTGTAGCAGCACTGCTTTGAGACTTCATTTTGAGCTATCTACAAAATGTCACAATTTTGCAGGACCATGCTTATGTCTAAGAGAAGTAAATAAACTGTCTTGCAGTCTTCTTCTAGTAGATTCCATTCCACCTTGATGAAAAAATTCATATTTAAATAGACCTTATGTTATATCATCTAGCTCACTTAGTTTTTAAAAAATGAAGCTGAAAAGTTTTTATTGGTATAAAAGTCCATGCCTTCACTACTTTTATTTGCTTATTCTTTAGATAAAGTATTCGTTTTCTTTTTCTTTTGTAAAAGAATGATAAAACAATATATAGTAACTTCAACATATAAATAAATAACAGCAGTGTTCAAAACTTTATTAAAAAATAAAAAATACTTCATGCTTAATTTAGTTAAATATAAGACTTTTGAAGAATATGATAAGAAGTATACTTACATTATGTGGTGGTTGTGATACTAGTAGCCTGCCATCATATGGGACAGGTGTTGTAGATGATTGTATGTCTGGTTATTGAAGACCTTTTTTCCCTCTCCATACTCTGAAACTGTCAAAAGGCATTACCATTTTTTTATCTTGTAATCATTCCTGCTAGAATTGATTGATAGATTTCACATATTACACGAGGAGTCATGGTTTGTCATGATCAACCAAAATATTTTGGTTGATTAGGATCTTTCTTTTGTAATCTTATGTAATGCCTGCTATTAGCCAATATAATATCCACATACATAGTAAAACATATAAGAAAATTTTTAACATCTTCTAGTAGTCATTATGAGCAGAACAGAACACAATTAGTCTGTTATCAGAACACATTTAGTTTTTCTTTTGAGCTAATGAAGTGAAGATTACATGCAATTAATGACATATTGTAAGTCGGTAACTGTAAGATGGGTATTTATTTCTCTAAAAGTGTCTAGCTTTTTTTTTATCTAAAGATCACCTTTGTATAGATTTTAAATCACTCATTGTTGACAAATTTGTTTGTGAAGGATGTAAATCCTGTTATATTGGCAAAAATACTCACCACTTAAAGGCATGAATAATTGGACGCTATAGAAAGGATAAAAACACTCTTATTTATAAGCATCTTCACTCATGAGAAAAATGTTTTACTAATTATAGTGATGAATGTTTTTTGACTTTGGATTGTGTCAATAACAAAATTAATTAGCAAATTAAAGAAAGTATTCCTATTGGATGGGAAAAAAACTATTATGAATAAACAAGTAAATCATATTAAAATAACTCTTACCTTTTAAAATAATATACTGATTCTTTTGTTACATTTGACAAATATAACAAAAATAAATATTTATTTTAGTGTTTTATTATTGAAAAATAATCTTTTGAAAATGTAAATAAATTTTACAAAAATAAAAAACATCGTGTTATTTTAAAAAAATTATTATTTTATG